GTAGTCCGAGGGGTACATGATGCGTGAAATCTGGAGTACCAGCTTTGTGAAATCCATGAAATATCTGTAAAATCATAACGTGCTTCGTTTGAATACGTTCCGTTAATTCAATGATAAATAAATTAAAATAAAAGAAATGTAAATATTAAATAAATATGCTTTTATAATACCGTCTCTAAGATACTAAACAATATTTATTTATTTATTTATTTATTTATTTATGTGGCCGTTTCTTCTAAAGATGCTTGCTTGCTGCCACCTTGGTCAACGAGAGTCAAATAAACATTGTGTATAACTTCCTTAGTCTCAATAGAATAGTGTTTTCTACATTTGGGCGGGAGCATCTCCTGAGATACACTAGACTAGCACATATTTTGCATAATTCGCACACGATTCAACACACGCTGTATTACACACGAAAAAAGAATGATTACTAATAAACTTAAACTAAGTAGTATACCAAACCAAAGAATATTAAACACAGGTAGGTATAAAATTATTTTCTATTACGGTCCACAATTTTACCTGAATTTAAATTCCGAAACTTTAGGTAATAATCTTGTTGCATTGTATGTTAATGACCGTCCTTGGATAATCCCATTCCCAAGCAATTGGTCACTTTCTTATATCTATGAACAGACCATAACATAAAAGTGGCAACTCTGACAACGTTGCTGGTGCAATGGTTGATTTCTGCATGTTATTTAACCTTTCCGGTATTTTTTACTAACCCTGTATAGGAAACATATACAATACAGCCATAAAAGTTTTATTTTATTTAACTTCTAAAGTAAATGTTTTCCAAACCTGAAATAATTTTTTCCTTTCCCTCCTGAAAAAATAAAAATTTTATGTCCGCTTTTGATTTAGTTAATAGTTATTATTTAGTTAAATGTTTAATAATACGTCAATAATTAATATTAGTACTAAATAATAATTTAATAATTTGTATTTAATTATCTATTTACTTATGACTATTTATTTAATCATAACTGTTTAAATAAATAAAATAAATAAATAAGAGGTTTTAAAAAAAATAATTTTCATTTTGTTATTTCCTTTTCAAGATGAAATCATTTAAATCTTTGTTAATTCCGTGAAGTCTACGAAATCCTATGGTTGTGTGAAATCTGGTGTACCAGTTTTGGATGGTTATTTGTTCCTCGGCAAATGACCATCCAAGACTGAGACTTTAGGAACCGAACAAATTAACAATGCCTTTGATGCAAACAAACGAGTTGTGGTTTTTTCGACTTGTCGAGCACTCCCACTTTTCCCCTGCCTCTTTCTCGTTTGCTCGTTGATATTTATAAGACGCGTTCGAAGAAAAAAAAAACGACTGATGGTCCCGTTTCCAATAAGCAAAACGCTCGAACTTAAAGACGCAATAAATTTTCCGACTTGTCACCCTTCTCGGTTTCATATTTAAATCGATTTTTCTCTCGCACAAAGGAGCTCCCGCTCCCCGCTGGAAACCTCCGGGGTGATTCGGAACACGACGTTTTCTGAACGCGTAATAGCGTCACAGACGGGCTCGCGCGAGCGACGAAGAGGGCGCCTCGCACGACAGAGACCCGAACAACAGATTGGCAAGAATGCAGACAAATAATAACCTCCCGCGGTATTTAAGCGTGGGGCTCTCCGGTCTCTCTTGTTGCGGCTCGAAGAATACGGGAAAATGAAGACGGTGAAGATGAATTGCTCGCTTATGAGCCGGTTTATCGATAGTTAACCTCAAAATGTTATGTAGGCTTTCGTCGCATATAGTATATCGTAAGTCATGGTCCGAATCCAAAGAGGGTTAGTGGAAGTGGCCATAACTAGTGGAGTAAAAAATGCTGGAAAAGTGACTTTCTTCTTAAAAAAATCTAACCTGACTGAAATCATTAATTAGTTTAATGTAAATACAAAATAGGTAATTAAGAATTTTTAGTGGTACCGAATTTTAAAAAACCGGAAAAACTCCGAAACTATTCAACCTATCCGTTGTTTGACTTGAAGACTATACATAAGCGATGATAACTGAGGCGATATAATTTTCAGATTTATTTTTCTATTTTTTTCGCAGCCTTGAATACGAAAATTGGATCTTTTGTATTGTATGTATTATCATAAACTGATGATTAGGAGAATCAAGACAGTATAGACGTAACCAATGAACATTTTTATTTCTGAATTTTTGAATAGGCAAAATATAAATTCTTTTCAAAATCATTTAGAAATCTTCACCCAAAGATTCCCCTTTGCCTATTATATCTTCATTGCTACATAATTTGCAATTATATTCTTCATAGAACTTTAATCCTTGCGCCACACATTTACGTTTATTGCTGTTGCAGGTTACATCAGAACATCGCAAAACCAGAATGTTTAAGATTTTATATGGCAAAGGATCTTGTGTCGATAATATTGGTGTCCAGGTGTTGTTCTCATTTGTCCGTCCACATCTATTTGGGTTGTCAAAATAGGGTATGTGACTGGAATACCAAACTTTCAGTTGATATATGTATCTAAAATAAGTAAAAACAAATTATAGTATTGAACTAACATATTACCCACGTTTCATAATAAGTTGTATACCTTCATTAGTGTTGTTGAAATGCAGTATAAGTTGGTGGCAGTTCCATCGCTGGTATGTTTGAATTTGTTGTTAACTGAATCTGCAGACCATTTAAGGATGAAATATTATGTTTCTTACTCAAGCCCACTGCTTCACTGCCAGGTGAAAACGGCAAATTATACAGTTTTTTTTTAAATAATGATATTCTTTGACTAGTATATCAAAGGCTGTCTTCTAGTCAGTTTTGAAAAGTGCACCTGAAGAGTCACATTCCGTATCTCCAAAATGTTTTTTGAAACTGTTTCTCCCAAACTTTCAACTGTGTTCTGAATTGATAAATGCCACAAAATTCCATAAATAGTCTGCAACCGAGTATTTGCTCCGTAACGAAGTAATGATGCAGAAGTAGAATAAAAACATGGTTTTCCACAGACCTAACTATGGTGTTACTATGCTCTCTCTCTCTCTCTCTCTCTCTCTCTCTCTCTCTCTCTCTCTCTCTCTCTCTCTCTCTCTCTCTCTCTCTCTCTCTCTCTTTATTTTTTATCCTGGGTTATGATAAAGACGTTTTCGGGATTTCCAGGTCCTCTTTCTATTATGAATGATTTGTTTTTGTTTAACAAATTTGCTGCATTCTTCAAATCATTATCGGCCATAAAAATTAATAAGGATGTCTTTCGGGAACCAGAAACTTTATATTTAGTTGTGTCAGATGATTCACCATGTCTTAGTCTTTCGGCAGATTTAAATTACTGGGAGATTATCAAACAGAAATGCAAATCTTCTGGCATTACATTTGCGACCGCTACTAAATATTTGTCCTGGGTCGTTGAACGTCATGGAAGAAGTAGATTTTAATTCCAGAATGAGTACCAAACCATCAATAATATAAGAATGTTCATTTTTTATATAAATGCATTTTCTCATTATTTTGTTGCAATCTATAATGCAATTCAGCATTTGCAGACTTTCACACCATACAACCATTTTTTTATGGACTTCTTAGTGGTCATTATTTTGTCCCTCTTTATGGTCCCCCAAAAACTTTCAACAGACCTTTCGAAGATATTAGTTTTTTTTTGTCAGCAACTGTTTGTAAATAATTGGATAGACTTTTTTCATTTTTTTTTTATAGTTACTTTTCCCGTGCATATATTTATTAGTTGTTTGGCAAAATCATCCAAATCGAATGAAATGTACCAATTGGCTTGAACCGCATTCAACATTTTAATTACATCTTCTTCATTTATAGGAGCTGACTTTATTCTTTTGGGTTTGTCTTCGGGGTTTTTATTAAATATCGCATCTGTTATTAGTATACAATTATTTCTGAATTAGCATATAGCATTTAGTGTTAGCATATAGTATTAAAATTTTCCAAATAATTTTCGTATTTGGGGTCGCTTATGTATGGTCTTCCAGTCAAACAAAAAATCGTACGGCTATGATAAATAGTTTCGGAGTTATTGTAGGGTGAACGATAAAAAGTAATTTTTTCGAATTTCCGCGTTTTTGTCGGTTTTTTCGACATTTCAAAAGCCGGTACCACTAAAAAATTGGCCATTTCGTATGTACAATAATTAATGATTTGGGTGAGGTTTCATCTGGTGCTAAATTGCTATTAACTGAGCATTTTTACCGCTTTTTTACTCCAAGAAACTTGGTGCTTTATTACATTGACATCTTATAATGTAATGATAAAATGTTCGTTATAACGATTGAAGTTTAGTGTGCTTGGACTTGAACAATGACGGCGATAAAGGTTATTTCATTTAAAAAAGCTAAACAATTTGCAACTATGACATAATAAAACTTGAAACCTAAACCAGCATCTATATAAATGAAATGCATACAATATTTCTTTAAATTTCCTCTTTATTTATGTTGTTTTGTGCGTTTTCTATCCTGTTATTGTATTTCCTAATATGGGACAATTTCGACTGAAGTTAGATATGTTGAAGCAAACAAAGTAAGCGTATCGGCATTTTCTAACTGACTAACCCATAAGTCACAACTCCCTTCTCTGGTAGGTGTATCCAAGTTTGTTATTAATTTCTGTCAGATGTTTTGGTCGTTTGTGTCTTTCTATGTAATTTTTGGTTAGAAATGGCAAGAAATGGAGCTAAATCAAACAAAATGTCGGAATACAATGGAACTTTGGACTTTTTTTGTTTGTATTAAATATAATATAAGCCGAAAAATTTTCACCTCTCAATTTCTGGCTTTTATTTATTTTTTGGACGTCAAGCCGATGTCAGTTCGTGACATCAAACGTAACTATTTTGAGTCACCTTAACTAAGTACAGTTTGGGGAAGATCACTAGAAATCGCCTATGGTTTTAATTTCAAATTACTTTAATATATTGCCAAATTTTTCAAAGACATTTTACCAACTCACCAGTTGAATACGCGACTAATGTTTATTCTTTTTTTTTTTCAGCTGAAATTCTGCCGCCAGAGGGTAAGTAATTAATGATTCGCATTTTTATTTATTGGCCATAAAAATGCGTGTAATTTTTTAAGCCATTAGTAATTGCCGGCAATTGGATATTTATACGACTTTAATGGCTGTTTTTTTACCTTAAACGGTAAATTATTCATACGAAAACAAAGTAATACAAATTGACGGTGGCGTATACTTGATGAAATTAATCATATAGCCGCGGGTATGCTATCTCTCCGGCACAGGTATATACTTAAGTGAAATTCCACTATGTTTACCGGCAATTATTAACAGAGAAGAATCTAGAATTCCCAATGTAATCAAGGTGTTTTTAAAGTAGAATACTAGTTTGAACACTTGGGATTTATTAAAATGTAAAATACAAAATATAAAACTATCTGCCCTATCTTTCCTCTTGGGTCCTTAGCGCGCCCGACGCAACTCGACACCCACTTGATAAAAACCTCCATATCGGTTTTTTTTCCCAGGTCGATTTCGTCGAGTCTTACGAATATTGTCGATAACATTCGGCCCTTCCTGACCCATAGAGTGTCCTCACTTTGCGTGTGTGATCTAAAAGGAGAAAAAGCTATCTAAGCCAACGAAATAAATGTTTTTTTTTTCAAAAATCATTTCACAATCAACAGCAAATCTGGATTCAGGCTCTCCGGCAAAATTATACGACCTAGAGCAATTTACCTCATGTTAAATAGAAATGTCATAAAAACCAATAAACCATAAGGAAAAGCAGTAAATAGGGGAAAAACAAAAAAAACAATATTATGGAAAATCGCAAAATAGGGGACAAAACGAAGTTTTTAATTGTGGGCCCACGCTATCTAGAGCCTTGGAACGCAGTACCATCTGAAATAATACCAGGTTTTGTTTTCACCCTATTTCAGTATCCAGGCCAGCCCATTCCTCATCTAGCTACTGGAAATACGAGATTTCCAGGACGCAGTGCCCTATTTCAGTATCCAGGCCAGCCCATCCCCTCATATTTCCAGTTACTTAACCTAAGCTCACCTTAAGTAACCTTTCATACTAAAATTGTATCCATGGCTTCATATTATCGATGCCAGCCACACTCAAGTACGGTGTCCTTGATCGTGTCATCCCAGGAATGTATGTAACCTCATATCGGTCACACCCCACTACTTTCGAAACCCTGAAAGGACCTCGCCACTTTGGCATCAACTTCTGACTGGCCCCCGTTGTTGGACTAGACGTGATTTTCAATAAAACCAAGTCTCCCTGATGAAACCTCTTTGGTGCGCATCGCTTCAAATCAAACTACTCCTTTTGGCGGGCCTGATATTTGCGATAATTATCTCGCACTTTTTGACGTAACTTTGACACGTCTATATCGTCCTAGCGGAGGGTACAACGCAACTTGTTCAAATAGTTACAAAACTTTTTAAATATTTGTGAAGTAAATAACTTTCCTCGGTCGCTAATTATTCTCTTAGGAGACCCAAAGAACTTAATCATGTCCGATAACGATATACCCTCCTGCTGATGAGAACTCTGCTCACTCGTAGACGCAACTGCCAAAGGCGGGGTGTAGCTCCTGCTTTGGGCGGATGATTGACGTCGGATTGCATGCACATCACGATCACCACTTCGCGAACGGCTACGAGCACTAGGGGTTAAGGGTCGGTCCCTCCGCCGGTCACTAATTGCGCGATGACGATGCATTGTTTTACTCAGGTGTGAGCAGACACCGAGTTGTTATCCCACTTCTGATGTAATCAAGGTGTTTTTAAAGTAGAATATTCATTTGAATACTTGGGATTTATTAAAATGTAAAATACAAAATATAAAACTATCGAGTTTTTAGACTAACGGAAAAAGAAATGTCTGCAGAGAGTGTTAAATGCCAACTGCCCTATCTTTTCTCCTGGGTCCTTAGCGCGCCCGACATAACTCGACACCCACTTGATAAAAACCTCCATATCGTTTTTTTTCCCAGGTCGATTTCGTCGAGTCTTACGAATATTGTCGATAATACTAACGAGTTTATTTTCGTATTTTCATTTGGTAGAAAATGGTACGGTCGAGGGTACAGTTGATTGTAATTAATTTTAAATTTTTAGAATTCAAATTTAGATCTAAAAGAGTGGTCAAAATAGTGAGCGTAATAGCAATGCTGTACAGTCGGCAATGTCCACCACAATCCTAAACAGCTTCAGGTCATCGGCAAACAATAGAGCGCAGCTAGTTATGTAGTCGACTATGTCGTTAACGAATGATAGGAAGATCAGTTTAGCCAGATTACTGCCCTGAGGTGCTCCGCTTGTGGCTATAAACCTCGAAGAGCGGTGTCCACGAATCTCTACATACTGATATCTAACCTGTAGATATGAAGCAAAAAAGTCTACCAGTTTATTGCTGAATCCCATTGCCTCAAACTTTTTCAGGAAGATAGCGTGGTCAACTCGACTGAATGCTTTAGAAAAATCTGTGTATAGTACATCAACTTGAGATTTATTGTCTAGGGCCTCTTCAATATACTGAGTAATGCTGTGTAATGCTGTTTACCAACAGCAAGATGGTGCCCTAGTGGTAACTCAAGGCATTTAAGGGAATTTCTTAATAACCAAGTACCCACGGACCTGTTAGATGGCATGCCCAATCTCCCGATTTCTGAGTTTTAGTTTTGGTTAGTTTTATGGGGCTATATACAAAAGGAAGTATATAAAACACGATATGGCGGTATACTATAACTTCGAGAAGCAACTCATTTATTCTTTCGAAAAATGCAAATGGGACAAATTCGTTTCCTCGTTTTTTTTTAATGTCGTAATTTTTTTGTGTTGCAAACTTATTGTTATTATTAAACTTCAAAAGGTATTTAATTCTTCGATGGCAATATCTGATTTTCAATTGTTTGTTGTTGTAATTTATGGCCTTCTATTGTATTTTTGAAAAAGCAAAAAAAGAGCGGTTCGCTAACTTTTTGATTTGCTAATGCCTTAGGCGGGAAAAGTTATATAAGGGCGTTTTCGATAAGTTATTTGATCTAAAAGGGTTATGAAAATTTTGTTAGCGGCATCTTTAGTTTCCCGAAAAATTAGTGCACTATCGCGAAAAGCGCAACTTTCCATTTATCAAAATAACGCAAAAATGTACAGGTGGAAAAAATATTTTTTAAGTCTTTAGTAATGTAAATTACGCAGGAAATTATAAAACCATTTCTATTGTTATTTAATTTTTATTTTGTTTAGAACTGAATTTATTTTAAGTTAACACAGTCAACTAATACTTCAGTGCAAATTCCGATTGATATCTGCGGTGGTGAAAAATCAATATCTGCTAAAATAGATAAGCCTGAATCGATTTTGCCAAGTTGCGGCTGCCTGCTTACAAGGTCCGAATAAGTTTTAAATTTTGAAATTTTCAGAGGGCCTGGAACGGATTGAGGCTCACATGATTGTCAAATTTTCAATGATCAATTTTCAAATTTCAAAAGTTTTACCTCAAATAAGATTAAAATAAAATCGGCAACAAATAAATAGTCAAATGTCACTATTTTTAAGCACTGTATTCATAAACTACTGTAGAGTTCTCCAAACGATATACCGTTTTTACGACATAATCCGGTATTTAATTTTGGTAAATTCTTATCAAAGTGTAACCCTAGGCCTATCTCGCTCTTTGTAACTCTTAATAAATAGATTCGCAATTCCACAATCACGTTCCAGGACTGGACTTCGTACTTCGTGCATACAAATGCTGAAATCTTACGGTTGATACCATGCAGTGAAAAATCCATTCTTACTTTACAATGTTTATTATAAATATAAATGAAAGAGTACATTTAGCTATAAAACAATGTTAAAATTATATAAAAAAGTTATTCTGCATCAAAATAATGACTATCGTCACTTGACTCGTCCCTCACATTAGTAATTAATTTTGGCACTAGTCGACGTCTGTAAACATTTTCTTGGATGACATGTTCTAGACATTTTTTTCTAGAACGGGGGGGGGCCGCACGATTTTTCCGCGTTTTTCTTTCACACAACTGTGTCACGTACTATGGCATACGATGTTTTAGTCATCGCGGACGTTACTTTTATTGGTCCACTTTTCCCAAATGTCGATTTCAGAAACACAAACGCATTTAAAATCATAATTTAGGCAGCAACGTGCAAATGTGTCCGAGTCTTTGATCCATTTGAATTTGACGGATGTGCATCATCAATGATTATTACGTCATCGACCACAATCTCAAATTCTTTGTCATCGCAAGTGACTAACAAAACTGAATAATGTTAGTATTTGGTAAGAAATAAATTGTAAATGCTACCTTAATAAAAATGGCACAAGTAATACTGTTTCATAAAATCGCGATTTCAGCAAACCCCACATATCAACCTGAGAAAACATCCACTACAAATCAATTACCTAAATAAGATTTTGTATTGCTTTCCTAGAAAAATATTTCAGAGTCATTATGTCAAACTCTTAAATTGGAAATCAGTTTAAGCTTTTTTATGTGGTTTTACTATAGGTCAACCTAATTAATTGGCAAATTCAACTTGAAATCGAGCTACCTCAAGCAGGCACCGTTTTAGGAAGATTTATTAATAAACTGTTTAATCAAAGAAAATTGTGGCACAAGTGCTGAAAAGAATGGTCCCTTCCCCTTTCCAACAGTCGGGTCTTAAACCCATTCCGTAGCTAAAATCATAAAAGGTTGTAAAAACGGTATATGGTTTGGAGAACACTAATACATTTCACCCACTGCTATCGAGGCCATGTAAAGATGACGGCCGTTTTGTAATTGCACCGGTTATTGGTCAAGGAGCTTTATCATTTACGAACCTCTTAATAGATTTATTTTAAATGGAACTTTTATAGTGCGATTCGCGGTATTGCCCGTGTTATAAATTGTTCGTCGAGAACGCGGTTATTAATTAGGTAAGTATATGTAAATATAGACCGGGCACTAGAGCGACTCGACGAGCTCTATGCGTGCTGATGTGCCGGCCAATTGCTATCCGCCATTAAAA